TTTCTTTTCTCCTTAAAGGTAGGGTAGGTAATTTTGGAGAAACCAGCTCGAGTGCGCTAGAATTTGAAAATACACAACCGGAGAAAATCTGCCACTTCCTTACAGAGCCCCTCCTCCAACACACACGAACGCGCACATGACCAATGAGGGCACGAGATAAGTTTGTGCACAGATGGAAGGCTGACAGGCAGGTAGGATTTTTTGTCAAAGCACTTATTATTGATATTCATTGCTATCAAGGATAGTAATGCTAGGTCACACACACACACACACACACACACACACACACACACACACACACACACACACACACACACACACACACACACACACACACACACACACACACACACAGAAGTTGTTTTATTCCTCAGGAGTTCGTATGTGTATGGTTTGTGAAATATAATCAAATAAAAAAACTACTACTAAATTAAAATTGAAACTAGCTAGCTGGAAGTAGAAGTGTACATTCATTTTTTTAACGGAGAGTTTGTATGTGTATTGTTTGTGAAATAAAATAAAATAATAAAAAACAATAGTAGTACACATACATTTAAAAAAAACATAATAATATGGAAAATACAAATAAAACTAGCTACCGAATAGTGAGCTTGTTTACTTTATAAACATGTGCCGATTCCTCCAGAAGACCCTAACAATTCACTATATGTTCCTATCAGATATATTACCTATTATTATCTTTAATTAAAAATATAAACACAAATGGCGCGTTTCCACTACAGCGCGCAGCCCGGTTTAAGAGGGCTGTGACGTCAGCGGCCCGTCTTTGGTTGCGTTTCCACTTGGCCTAGTACCGGCCGGCGGGTCCTAATTCACAGTTTTTCTGGCCTCATAAAATCGTGGGTCCAGGGCCAGAGACAACGAGGCTGAGTCGGGCTGAGTTTGCTAAACTAGAGAGAGCGTCGCTGGCAAGGGGGCTACAACTACAACAAGATGGACATATTTGACCGTGATTTAATTGTAATACACGTTTCAAAATGATGCCGAAGTAACAACATACTGATACCGGTTAGTAAAAACCATGAATTAATGCTTTGTCAAGTCTGCAGACAGACGGCAGGCGAAAAACCTTTTAAAATGCTTGTTTTCTAAATGGAGATTGGCTAAGCTAACGCAGTATATGCTCCGACCGTCCACACTCACAACAACGGCCTATACAGACATAAATAAAGCAGCGACTGTATTCACCATGACACAGGCAGTCTGTGGTTTGTACTTGTTTAACTTTTGTCTAGTTTCTGAACATATATGAGGAGCTGTGAGCTCTGAGTGCTAACAGCTAACGGCTGTGTTGTTTTTCTGGGGTCCTCTGAAGATCACGTCACGGCTCCGCCTACACTGCGTTACTATAGATACTGCCCCAGTTCCTAAACTGTAATGGAAATGCGCCATAAAGTGAGCCAGTCCTAACGAGGCCCAGCCATACCGAGCGGGGCCGAGCGAGGCCGTATAGTGGAAACGCGCCATTAATTCTAGGTTATTTATGAATGGAGTTCTGCACAGCACCGTTGTCCAGCATGTTAGCCTGCTAGCTGCTAAACAACAACAACAACAACAGTACACTAAGGGCCTTTCTCATTTCTCTAATTCCCCTCCTCGACTCCTATCCTCGTGTCTTAGTCCCGCCCACAGGAGATGCGAGCAGAGGAGCCGAGGAGGGGAACCGAGGAGAGAGGAGGGGAAGCAGCAGGCGGTTAGAGAAATGAGAACTCCTCTCCTCTGAGCGGTCATTTTAAAGAGACGTCCATTAATGATGACAGGAGGCATTGCAGCCCTCTGTCTGATGGACAGATGTGTTCATGACGACTTATATATTTACTTTTAATTCATTGACAGTGCGGTATAATGAGACAATAACAGGCTACAGATGCGGACATATATACACACACACATATATATATATATATATATTTATATACACACACACACACACACACACACACACACAGGTGCAGTGACACAGCAGTAACACACACCTGGGTTACCCGTGTGTTTCTCTCAGATTTAACGAGGAGAGTTTTAAAGAGTCCCTGTTCTTCTTCTGTGGTGTTCCCTCTCCTGTGCAATAGGTGTTAGTGCATGTCAATGGTCTGCAGAGGCTAAAATCCCTGAGTTCCCTCCCTGAGTTCCCCCCCTCCCCCCCAGGTCTTCACAGTCTCTGGAGATAAAGACTGAGACGTTTGGTTTCCATGTTTCATTCATTAGCTCCACTAAATGTGCAACACCTTCCTTGGCTCTGACACAAACTGTATGTTGTTTACAAAGTGAGAGCCAGGGCAAAGAGAGGTGTTAAACCCAACAAAGCGTTGTGTTGTCAGTGTGTTGGAGATAGAGAGAGAAACACAACTCATTATAACATTGATTAAAAGCACTCTTTTTATTTGGATTATATATCATTAAAGCCATAGTAAAAAAAGGAGTAACATATTCCATTAGGACTTAAAGGTGGGGTATGTAATTCACTTCAGAAACACTTTTTGTTATATTCCATGGAATGCTCTTAACATCCCGATAGCAATGAATACATTAAATGCTTTGACAATAAATGTCATCTGTGGAAGCCGTAGTACTGTAAAAAGCACGACCAATCATCTGAGCCGGCCCGGCTAAAATAACTGGATGGCCTACCTGCCTGTCAGCCTTCCATCTGTGCACAAACTTATCTGGTGCCCTCATTGGTCATGTGCGCGTTCGTGTGTGTTGGAGGAGGGGCTCTGTAAGGAAGTGGCAGATTTTTTCCGGTTGTGTATTTTTAAATTCTAGCGCACTCAAGCTGGTTTCTCCAAAATGACCTACCCCACCTTTAAGCTAATTAAAACATCCTAAGATACTGGAGGCATTTCAGGTTTAGGAATACATATAGAGTAAAAAAGAGAGTATAGTAAATATATTGTATAGACATTTGATCAGATATATACAGCATGTGCAGCAGTTACAGTAGGCAGTACAGGTATACTGTATAGTATAAGTACACGCTATGCTAATTATAAGACATTATATGAATCATTCATTGAAAAACGAGATAAAAGCATTTATTAAAGTTATTAAATCGACACTAGGGTGAATGATTTTCCCCAGAGAACACAATTAACAAAAACATTTTATGGATCATTTTACAATTTAAATATTTTATTAATTCAACCCAACGTATGTATGAACATGTGCAGCAGTTACAGTGAGAAGTGAAGGTATAAGGTGTAAGTACAAATAATGCTAATATTGAGAAGTCATATACAGAATAAACAGCATTAAATCAGAAATATACAGTGTAAGCAGTAATATAACTATGTATGGGAATGTGAGAGCATAATTAAAGGATGTTAAATCAGAAAGGAATGAATATAATAAGCTATGTTTCCTATCTTATGGTGTTGAGTTTCTGAAGTGGTCTGTGTGCGGGGGGCGGGGCCTCTCTATCTCTCTCTCTCTCTGTGTGCGGGGGGCGGGGCCTAACTCTCTCTCTCTCTCTGTGTGCGGGGGGCGGGGCCTCTCTATCTCTCTGTCTCTCTGTGTGCGGGAGGCGGGGCCTCTCTATCTCTCTCTCTCTCATGCGGGGGACGGGGCCTAACTCTCTCCCTCTCTCTTTGTGTGTGGGGGGCGGGGCTTAACTCTATCTCTCTCTCACTGTGTGCGGGGGGCGGGGCCTAACAGACACGCTGCAGCGGCATGCACACAGATTTGTAAGAGTAGTAGTACCGTTCAAAGTAAAGTGTTAAGAGAGTGAAATGTTGCTTTAGGAATTTGAACACTTGATGCTGTCACCTTGATTCCAGTTTCAGATACCTGTGTTTAACTGAATTAGTTTAAAGAGAGAAAACATTTTGACGAAAAGTTGACTAAAATGTAATTTTACATCGACTAAAACTAGACTAAAGCTATGAATATTAAAAAGGACTAAAATGTGACTAAACACTAATAACCATTTTCGTCTAAAGACTAAATCAAAAATAGCTGCCAAAATGAACACTGCTCAGGTGTTCTCAGTCATCAGAAATGTTCCAATGATCTCATGGTTCTCCTGTTTTCTCCTGTAGAATATGAGGAGGTGATGTTTGACAGCATGGACTCTGAGGGGAGTTGATGTTGTTGATCAGTCACACAGAGGCAGAAGCCCCTCCATCGTTTTCATAGTTCACCTCATCTTCATCTTCATCTTCATCATTCTGCTCCTGTCAGCATGGAACAGAGACATGGTGAAAACACAGAGCAGAGCTGGAAAGTAACTAAGTACATTTACTCAGTTTTGTATTTCAGTACATATTTTAAGGACTTTACTTGACTATCATCAGTTAATGCTACTTTACACTTTAACGGGTCCTTATTCTGGAGCTTCATGTTGAACCTTTTACTCGTCTTCATCCATTCATTTTTATTACACATTCTTGCTTTAACATCTTTTATATTCCTTTTTTTATTTTGTATTTATTTCATTCTTAAATTGAGCAGAAATCACCATCTATGATGTATTACATGACAAATATAACTAGTTAAGCTACCCAGTAGTATGTCAAGTACTTTTAATAAACCATACATTGCAAATGGAAGTGATACACATTAAAACATCACTTATTATAATCATATATTATATTATTACATTCTGCATAATCAGTACTTTCAATTTAGGTATATTTGTATTATTAATCATATTTATATATTAGAGTATTTCTACATTGTAGTATTGCTACTTTTATTGAAGTACAATATCTCAGTACTTCCTTTAGTGCCTTGCTCAAGGGAACCACAGAGATACTTCATTTCAACACAACATGCACACTTTACTCCTTTGTTGAATCTTCTGCCTGTCTTATAATCACAGTTAAATGAAAATAATAAATATTACAAGCTATTATTTTATATTTAAACTCACGAGGTTTTTTGACATCCGTTTTTTGTCCCCTGAAAAAAACAAAAAGACAAACATGTTGACTTCAGCTTCAACGGTTTACTTTTTCTTTTCTCTTGAATCTATGAACCCTCACCTTTAGCTCTGGTCCAGATGTGGACTGTAACCACGGTGATGATGAGAGCTGCTAACCCCACAGGCACCATGATGACCCACCACACAGCTGGAAAGAGAGAAGTCCCAAGTGTGAAATATAGTCAGAGGTTTTTAGCTGTTAAATGTATTTCTTCTCTTCAGTCACTACCTGGTCCTTCTGGATGTTTGCAGTCTGTTTCTTTGTTGTTGTTTTCAGATGTCCATTCATGAATTGTTGGTGTTCCAGTTGTTGTAGCATCTCCTTAAGGAATAAAACAACATCATGCAAAAAACTGTAGTTAAAAAAAATGTTTTCTGCATAAACCAAATGACAAAATGATGTGACGTCAAAACCTCAAATCCCAAAAGCATTATCTGTGATTAAATGCGTGATAAGTGATTTTAAACAACTCATTATATTCTAACCTGGTTTCTCAATTAAGAGCTTCTCTTTTTTATCATAACCATCTGTCTCTTCACATTTCAGAAACTCATGAAATCCCTGATAAATGTGAGATGTTGTAAATGTGTTGTTTCAATATATTCTTATAACAAGACTGTTAGAAGTTATTTTAAACAGCTTATCATGTTCTCACCTGAGGACTGATCGCTGAAGGGAAACAGATGAACTTCTCCTGTGATCTTACTAGTTACTTCACAAGTAAACAACTCAGACCTTGTTGTGTAACTAAAGAGAGAAGTCAGAAATGTCACAGAGGCAGAAGAGCAGGAAGACTGTGATGTGTTTATATCTCTGTGATCTTTAACCACATCTCGACCCTGAAGCAGCCACTTCACTCTGTGTGCACACCCTCCATATGTCGACACAGAGCAGTTTAACGTCACCTCATCATTGTCCTGATGTTCAGTCACTGAAGATGGAGATATTGTGAGAGAAAGACAAACAGAGTAACATTAACTTCATCACTGTAATCATAATTATTGTAATGATTCAGTATATTGCTCTATAGAGACAGTTTAAAACATCATGATGTAAATACTCACTGGTAACAACATACAGATAAACACGAGAGACTGGATCTTGTTGTATTCCTGATCTGAACTGTCTGCAGCCGTAACATCCAGCATCCTCCTCTGTGACCTTCTTTATAACCAGAGAACAATTCTGTGTAACATTCAGTCTGTCTGATTTAGCTTTGGCTGCTTTGTGAATCTGCCCGTCTGCAAACAGCGTCACTCCTGGTGAGTATGGTGAATCACTGAAGCTCCACTCAGTACTCTCACACTTATCCTGATCATCTATCACATTGTCAAAAGGCAAAGTGACTTCATCTCCAGCTCTGACAATGGGGTAGTATTGTTTCACAGATGCAGCTGTTGGGGAAAGAAATCAGAAATAAATATAGACGTCATAAATGCTGACAGAATAATGATTTATTATATAAAAAGGTAAAGAGTTAGAGTTCTGGTTGATCTGTTTAATGAATCATTTAACGACACATTCAAACCAGAGTTAATTACAGATCCACATAACTAACTGAAGTGTTCATAGTGAGTGTGACGATCACTTTAAAGAGTACTGCTATGTGGGTTTTAGTGACCAAGAGTTCACTAAAGTCACCACGTTACAAACACAACTCATCATTCTCAGTTAAAGGAACAGTACGTAGTAAAGTACCGTTAGTGATATTAAAGCTGTTTTATTTCATGTAATTGGTAAATGGTAAATGGACTGTATTTATAAAGCGCTTCATCCAGTCTTTCACCCCCTCAAAGCGCTTTACATACAACAAGTCACCCATTCACACCCAATGCATACAGAGCAATGTGCCCCTTGCTCAATGAAGGGGTTAGAGCCATTTCCCTTTCATCATTATGGTTTGAATGTTTGTCTTATTACTAAAAGGCTTTAGAGGAAACTCTTAACTATCTATTTTTGTGAGTCACACTATGCTTTAAAAGATGTTAGTTTAAGTCTCACTTATTTGCTGTCGGATATGACGTGCATGTCTATATGTCTATATATGGCATGATATTGGTTCACAGCTGAGGGTGTGATTAGACAGGAAGCGGTAGGGTCTTTTGACCGTGTTCTTTTTGTTCTTTTTTGATACGGAGAACTTTTAGTTACTTTGAAGCGAGGAAGTTTGTCTTCATGTTTGTATGTCGCCTTGATCAAAGAATAAATCTGATTTGATTCAACGCTACAACGATCTCTGCAAAGTTAGTTTGGAAGCAAAGAGAGGCGCGTCATAACCCACAACCCCGATAGAGGAAAGTGGATATTAAATGTAGAAACTGATTCAAACTCCACGACAGAAGGTATCATTCACACACCGTTCCCCATTGGGAGCGACTTGGGGTTAAGCATCTTGCCCAAGGATACATCGATTTCAATTGAAAGACGCCCTCACTAGCTTTCATTAACAGTCGTAAACAGTGTGTGTTCTCTGCATCCTCACCTGGAAAGTGGAGCAGCAGCATCAGGAATGAAGACATCAGGATCCTTCTGAATTCAGACATCGTGCTTCTCTCTTGGTCTCTGGCTCTCGACTGTCAGAGTCTCTAACCTGCTGTTTCTGTATTTCTCTTCTGAGAACTGAAGGGGAAGTGTTTCTGTGAGGATGTTGTTAACCGGGTTAACCTGGTTGTTAACCCGGTTAACCCGTGGTTTTACCCTCTGATGCTGAGCAGATAAGGTATGTGCTTAACTCAACGAGCGTCTAATGAAACTCACTTGAATGGCCTACTTTTAAACACATGTATTAGCCGGTGTAATGTTCATGATGTTTTGAAATAGTTTCATGCTCTACACACTGCAGACTCTTCTGGATGTGCCATTCTTAGAGCAGTCTCTCTGACCTGACTATAGGACGCTACACTCAACTCTCCAAGAAGTTTTATCTGACTGAGTTTCATGTTCTGCACACTGCAGAGATGAGTATTAACAGACTGTACCTGGTTTGTTGTTGCTTTGCATTCTGTTATTTTGCTTTTGTCGGGACCCCCTTAAAAACGAGATGGTGCATCTCAAGGGGTTTATCCTAATAAATACCTTTCTATATAAACAAAGATAAAACTGAGGTAATTTTTTTCGGAGCCAAGGAAGAACTGGCAAAATGGGGTTCTGCTCAACAGATGAAGCGCTGACTGAACCGGAGGACCAAACTGAAAGTGTGTGTGTGAGTGTGTGTGTGTGTGTGTGTGTGTGTGTGTGTGTGTATGTGTGTGTGTATGTGTTTGTTTGTGAGTGTGTGTGTGTATGTGTTTGTTTGTGAGTGTGTGTGTGTGTGTATGTGTTTGTTTGTGAGTGTGTGTGTGTGTGTGAGAGTGAGAAAGGGATCTGGTTTGAGACATCTATAGCAACACCCAGAGACTGACTGCAGGGCCACACACACACACACACACACACACACACACACACACACACACACACACACACACACACACACACACACACACACACACACACACACACACACACACACACACACACACACACACACACACACACACACACACACACACACACACACACAGTCATCTGAATCACTCTCTGCAGTGACACCAAGGACTGACTTTTTATTATTTCTAACCAATATCTTCATGGTTAGAAATAATAAAAAGTTAGTGCATGCACGGTCACTTTAAACAATACTTTTTGGATGTTTTATTGGTGCAAAAACATTAAAAAAAACATAAAAAAACAATGAAATGATAGTCATATTGAGTCTGATAATAACATCTTGCAGTTAATGTGAGTTATATTTGTAATTAAAGGAGAAAACAACCAGTGGCGTTTTCTCCCGGAGGCCAAGGGAAGCCAGGCTTCCCCTGTTTTTTCGGATTGTAGTTATAATTTAAATAAATAAATAAAAACACTTTGTTTTGTTTCGATAATTCTCCTTTGCTGTGTGTTGCTGCCGGCCCGTCTCTCCCCCACTCTCATTGAGTATTTTACAAAGAGTGAAACAAACAGCGCCCCTCTAGATGTTATGGTGAAACAGTAGATTGCATTCACTGTTGCGAGAGGAGGCCAGCCGAATCGGGCTTCCCTTGGTGAAAAAAAATTGAGGTATTGACCAATCAGATGAGGCCCACGTGATGCCCCTGCCAACCTGTGATTGGTCAGGGCCATGCCAAGGGAAGCCAGCCGCCTCTGGCTTCCCTTCAGAGGCGGCTGGCGTTTTGATTGGACACTGCCATCCAATCATATCACATCAACATCAGTTTTACTACGTACTGTAGTAGCCTACTGTAACTGTCATCACCGCCGTTTGAAATGATCAAGCAAATGAAGCATTATTTATTCCATATATCACCTGAATAGATGAGATTGTTTATATTTTTTAGTTACTTTTGGACTACGGACTGAGCTAATTACAGAGACGAGGACTGTTGCTGCACTTGCCGTGTGTTAGAAAGGGAAGGGAAGAGAAGGTGGACTATCACATGCAAATGTTTCTGTACATAATTGTTTTTGAATTCATGTGTTTCATACACGCCTACTGATACTTTGATGTGAACATAAAACTTTAAAGGTCTCCTGATTTACTTTGTGAATGAATGCTTCTTTTTTATTCATTACCGAATCTGCACTGCGCATTGAGCGGCTGGTATTGCATATGGGGGGGGGGTATGTCTGCATAAATTAATAAGAAAATGCTTAAATTAATAAGACGAGAGAGTTTCGGCTGGAGAGTGCGTGCGGACCTGTCGGTTAGATAACAGGCGTGTGCAAGTCCTGCATCTGTGTGATACAGATGTGTGTAAAATGATACCGGGCGCTGTAATCACTCATCTGGTTACGTTATTGACCACCCCCCCCCCCCCCCCCCCCCAACCCAAAAAAATGGGCTTCCCCTAAATTTTTCCCCACGCCACGCTACTGAAAACAACATAACCAAGTCACCCTAAAATTAATGATTCCCCTTTTGGGGACCTCCATTATGTCCCCATAAGGGAAGCCAGTCCCCACACGTGACATGTGTAAACAGATTTAGGTCCCCAAAAGGATAGTACACACACTGAATCACTCTCTGCAGTGACACCAAGGACTGACTTTTTATTATTTCTAACCAATATTTTCATGGTTAGAAATAATAAAAAGTTAGTGCATGCACGGTCACTTTAAACAATACTTTTTGGATGTTTTATTGGTGCAAAAACATTAAAAAAAACATTAAAAAACAATGAAATGATAGTCATATTGAGTCTGATAATAACATCTTGCAGTTAATGTGAGTTATATTTGTAATTAAAGGGGAAAACAACATAACCAAGTCTTCACCCTAAAATTAATGATTCCCCTTTTGGGGACCTCCATTATGTCCCCATAAGGGAAGCCAGTCCCCACATGTGACATGTGTAAACAGATTTAGGTCCCCAAAAGGATAGTACACACACACACACACACACACACACACACACACACACACACACACACACACACACACACACACACACACACACACACACACACGCACACACACACACACACACACACACACACACACACACACACACACACACACACACCTCAGTGGCAGGCTGGAGTGTGAACAGGAAGTGTCTCGTTGTATCAGGCCCTAGCCACACGAGTACGGTCGTATCTGCTACAGTTCTCTATCATATAGACGGTTCGGCCACACTAGGCCGACAGGGAAACGCAGATAACGATAACGGGTCCCAAGGTATCCCTCCTAAATGTAACTCTTTTATAACCATTCCTATTCTTCCAAACCTTAAACCCCTTTTATCTGACCCCTACCCTCTCTCCTAACCATAAACTATTCCCTTTCCTCATACCTTAACCTTCACTCTTCCCTCCCTTCAATCTAACCCTTCCCTTCTGTTAGAAATTAAAATCAATATTGAATGACGTAATTTAGTTTAAAGTGGACCTATCATGCTATATTTAAATGATATATTGTAGGGCCATACCTATATAAGGTATATTTATACGTTTCTGTTTTCAAAATACCAAACAGATCATGCATTTTAGCCATGCCTCATTTCGCTCTATTTGCTGTTCTCCAGCCCTGTTTTTGCAGGGGGCTGATTCTGTGAGCTGCAGCTGACCACGCCCCCCTGCAGGAGAGGGGAGCGCGCTCTGATCAAGTCAGAAGAGGGGGAGAAAAATAGATCTCCGTCCTCCGTGTTTTATTATATTATTATTAGGGCTGTCAAGTTAACGCGTTAATAACGCGTTAACGCAAAAAAAAATTAACGCCACTAATTATTTTAACGCGATTAACGCATGTGTATTTTTGTCCTCGGCCGCCCCGTAGTTTCAGAGCGCATCGAGTTTAAAATACCATCTACAAGCTGATGCTTACAGCCCCGCTCCTGCCGCCCGCTTGTGGCAGACCACACTTCCACGCTCACCGGCAGGCCCGGACTGGCCATCGGGAGGACCGGGAGGGTGTGTGTATGCGTGGCGCGACTCGCGCGAGCGAGGCACACCTTACGTGTTGTTGTTGTTGTTAGCATCTGGTGCTAGCTAGCTGCGCTAACGGATATAAGGAGCTGTTTCAATGACATTTCGCCGACAACTGCGCCGAGCACTTGACTTAATGCAGGTAGCCAGACAGTGGGACATTGTACGAAAAGTCAGCACACTCAGCACGGATAGTGCGCGCAACATGATTGCAGCGTCCAGGCAGCTCTCCACATTCTCACACACACACACACACACACACACACACACACACACACACACACACACACACACACACACACACACACACACACACACACACACACACACACACACACACACATTGTATTATTGTATGAGCGGTTCCAGGTTGAATCGAATATTTGTAATGTTCAGAGGTTGTTGTGTTTAATATTCATGAGAATATTTGTCATTGTTCAAATGATAATAAACAAACATATAAAGCATATTTGTCTACTCATATGTTGATAAGAGTATTAAAAACTTGAAAAATATCCCTCTAAGGTACATTTAGAACAGATAAAAAATGTGCGATTAATTTGCGATTAATCGCGATTAAATATTTTAATCGACTGACAGCCCTAATTATTATATAGAGTCGTTATTCATTTGTTTTAAAGCTCAATAAATAACAAAGAAGACCTTTGACCGGCACTTTTCTAATTTTGTCCGGAAGATTTAAACTTTAACGGACATCTTGACCGGCGAAAGAAAACCTAACTGAAACTCTGCCGCCCGGTCCCCTCGTTCCTTGGAAGAGGCGGAGAGGTGGGTGTTTGTCATCTGCTGGTGGACTAACCGGAGAGAATTACAGTGCTTGCCTCGACGGGGAGGGATTGCATTGAATTAAAGCTGCAGGAGGAGCAAACACTTGCCTCGGGGAGGGAGAAAAAAAGCCACAGACTACAGCGCCACTTACAGGCCTGGTATATGTACTACAGCGTCTCCAGCGCTTTCGAGCGGCAATGGCCGGCCGTGGCCCAACCCCACATTCCCCTGATAGGTGGAGAGTTGGCCTAATAGCCGTAGTGCCACTTTCCTGACGTCAGTAACGTGTTCAAATCTGGATCAGTTTTTATCAGATCCGTTGCAGCCCCTTTTTTAGAGATTTGGGCATGGAGGAAAATAGAGAGGGTTGTGTTTTCTGACACTTGGTGAGTTCCCTGGAACACCGGGGACACATATTCATGTATAAAAGACGTACAAAAGTGCATTTTGCATGATAGGTCCCCTTTAAACAAACAGTAAGTTCAAAACTGTTTTATTCTGAAAACAGTTCCGGTTAAAGTTTACTTTGAAAAGCTGTATTGAGAGACGACAACAATGACCACTTCCGGTTTCACGTTAGGATCGATAACAGCCGTTAAAATGCATTAAATAAAAAGTAATGAAAGAGTGTATGAGGAGAAAAGGCGTGTGGAAGTTATACAATGACCACACAACGTTTAAATCCTCTGTTATGTGTGATATCGGACATTGGAGAAAGAGGTGGGAGAACGACGTCACCAGCCGCCATTGAAGGAGGAGCGCTGGATCGATACAGACGGAGGACAACGCGATCTCAGGGACTTCTTGACCGGGCCGCCTCCAGACAGCAGCTGCAGCTGCTCTCTCCTCACTCCTTCTGTTTGCTTCATTACCGCGCCATTTAATTAAAGTAACCCATTTGAACCTTTTCAGAGACTCCATTAGTCTCCTTATTGCAAGCTTCTCTCCTGGGACGCGAGAGAACCAACACAAATCAACACTTCCCCCCACCCTAACCATAACCACTCCCCACCTTCTTGCCTAATCCTAACCCTTAGTATTATTTTCGCCACTTCTAATCAGTTCTCCTTTAAACTCTCTCGTTTTCTCCATTTCCTTATTGAATCCCCATCTTTTCCTTCCCTCCCTTAGGATTTAGTTGTTGTATTCACGTGTCCATAACCATGCCACATTACCCTAAATAAGGTAAAATACCCTCAAATAACAGCATTAATTTTATTAAATTAACCAAGATATGAAACATGTGCCCGTGCCTCTCCCCTGCCACCACAAGATGGTGACAGGTGACCTCTATTTTCTTACCTAACCAAGTCTTCACCCTAAAATGAATGATACCCCTTATGGGGACCTCCAATTGGTCCCCATAAGGGAAGCCAGTCCCCACACGTGACTGTGTAAACAGATGTAGGTCCCCACAAGGATAGTAATGCTAGGTCACACACACACACACACACACACACACACACACACACACACACACACACACACACAGAAGTTGTTTTATTCCTCAGGAGTTCGTATGTGTATGGTTTGTGAAATATAATCAAATAAAAAAACTACTACTAAATTAAAATTGAAACTAGCTAGCTGGAAGTAGAAGTGTACATTCATTATTTTAACGGAGAGTTTGTATGTGTATTGTTTGTGAAATAAAATAAAATAATAAAAAACAATAGTAGTACACATACATTTAAAAAAAACATAATAATATGGAAAATACAAATAAAACTAGCTACCAAATAGTGAGCTTGTTTACTTTATAAACATGTGCCGATTCCTCCAGAAGACCCTAACAATTCACTATATGTTCCTATCAGATATATCACCTATTATTATCTTTAATTAAAAATATAAACACAAATGGCGCGTTTCCACTACAGCGCGCAGCCCGGTTTAAGAGGGCTGTGACGTCAGCGGCCCGTCTTTGGTTGCGTTTCCACTTGGCCTAGTACCGGCCGGCGGGTCCTAATTCACAGTTTTTCTGGCCTCATAAAATCGTGGGTCTAGGGCCAGAGACAACGAGGCTGAGTCGGGCTGAGTATGCTAAACTAGAGAGAGCGTCGCTGGCAAGGGGGCTACAACTACAACAAGATGGACATATTTGACCGTGATTTAATTGTAATACACGTTTCAAAATGATGCCGAAGTAACAACATACTGATACCGGTTAGTAAAAACCATGAATTAATGCTTTGTCAAGTCTGCAGACAGACGGCAGGCGAAAAACCTTTTAAAATGCTTGTTTTCTAAATGGAGATTGGCTAAGCTAACGCAGTATATGCTCCGACCGTCCACACTCACAACAACGGCCTATACAGACATAAATAAAGCAGCGACTGTATTCACCATGACACAGGCAGTCTGTGGTTTGTACTTGTTTAACTTTTGTCTAGTTTCTGAACATATATGAGGAGCTGTGAGCTCTGAGTGCTAACAGCTAACGGCTGTGTTGTTTTTCTGGGGTCCTCTGAAGATCACGTCACGGCTCCGCCTACACTGCGTTACTATAGATACTGCCCCAGTTCCTAAACTGTAATGGAAATGCGCCATAAAGTGAGCCAGTCCTAACGAGGCCCAGCCATACCGAGCGGGGCCGAGCGAGGCCGTATAGTGGAAACGCGCCATTAATTCTAGGTTATTTATGAATGGAGTTCTGCACAGCACCGTTGTCCAGCATGTTAGCCTGCTAGCTGCTAAACAACAACAACAACAACAGTACACTAAGGGCCTTTCTCATTTCTCTAATTCCCCTCCTCGACTCCTATCCTCGTGTCTTAGTCCCGCCCACAGGAGATGCGAGCAGAGGAGCCGAGGAGGGGAACCGAGGAGAGAGGAGGGGAAGCAGCAGGCGGTTAGAGAAATGAGAACTCCTCTCCTCTGAGCGGTCATTTTAAAGAGACGTCCATTAATGATGACAGGAGGCATTGCAGCCCTCTGTCTGATGGACAGATGTGTTCATGACGACTTATATATTTACTTTTAATTCATTGACAGTGCGGTATAATGAGACAATAACAGGCTACAGATGCGGACATATATACACACACACATATATATATATATATTTATTTATATACACACACACACACACACACACACACACACACACACACACACACACACACACACACACACACACACAGGTGCAGTGACACAGCAGTAACACACACCTGGGTTACCCGTGTGTTTCTCTCAGATTTAACGAGGAGAGTTTTAAAGAGTCCCTGTTCTTCTTCTGTGGTGTTCCCTCTCCTGTGCAATAGGTGTTAGTGCATGTCAATGGTCTGCAGAGGCTAAAATCCCTGAGTTCCCTCCCTGAGTTCCCCCCCTCCCCCCCAGGTCTTCACAGTCTCTGGAGATAAAGACTGAGACGTTTGGTTTCCATGTTTCATTCATTAGCTCCACTAAATGTGCAACACCTTCCTTGGCTCTGACACAAACTGTATGTTGTTTACAAAGTGAGAGCCAGGGCAAAGAGAGGTGTTAAACCCAACAAAGCGTTGTGTTGTCAGTGTGTTGGAGATAGAGAGAGAAACACAACTCATTATAACATTGATTAAAAGCACTCTTTTTATTTGGATTATATATCATTAAAGCCATAGTAAAAAAAGGAGTAACATATTCCATTAGGACTTAAAGGTGGGGTAGGTAATTCACTTCAGAAACACTTTTTGTTATATTCCATGGAATGCTCTTAACATCCCGATAGCAATGAATACATTAAATGCTTTGACAATAAATGTCATCTGTGGAAGCCGTAGTACTGTAAAAAGCATGACCAATCATCTGAGCCGGCCCGGCTAAAATAACTGGATGGCCTACCTGCCTGTCAGCCTTCCATCTGTGCACAAACTTATCTGGTGCCCTCATTGGTCATGTGCGCGTTCGTGTGTGTTGGAGGAGGGGCTCTGTAAGGAAGTGGCAGATTTTTTCCGGTTGTGTATTTTCAAATTCTAGCGCACTCAAGCTGGTTTCTCCAAAATTACCTACCCCACCTTTAAGCTAATTAAAACATCCTAAGATACTAGGCATTTCAGGTTTAGGAATACATATAGAGTAAAAAAGAGAGTATAGTAAATATATTGTATAGACATTTGATCAGATATACAGCATGTGCAGCAGTTACAGTAGGCAGTACAGGTATACTGTAGGTATAAGTACACGCTATGCTAATTATAAGACATTATATGAATCATTCATTGAAAAACGAGATAACAGCATTTATTAAAGTTATTAAATCGACACTAGGGTGAATGATTTTCCCCAGAGAACACAATTAACAAAAACATTTTATGGATCATTTTACAATTTAAATATTTTATTAATTCAACCCAACGTATGTATGAACATGTGCAGCAGTTACAGTGAGAAGTGAAGGTATAAGGTGTAAGTACAAATAATGCTAATATTGAGATGTCATATACAGAATAAACAGCATTAAATCAGAAATATACAGTGTAAGCAGTAATATAACTATGTATGGGAATGTGAGAGCATAATTAAAGGATGTTAAATCAGAAAGGAATGAATATAATAAGCTATGTTTCCTATCTTATGGTGTTGAGTTTCTGAAGTGGTCTGTGTGCGGGGGGCGGGGCCTCTCTATCTCTCTCTCTCTCTGTGTGCGGGGGGCGGGGCCTAACTCTCTCTCTGTGTGCGGGGGGCGGGGCCTCTCTATCTCTCTGTCTCTCTGTGTGCGGGAGGCGGGGCCTCTCTATCTCTCTCTCTCTCGTGCGGGGGACGGGGCCTAACTCTCTCCCTCTCTCTTTGTGTGTGGGGGGCGGGGCTTAACTCTATCTCTCTCTCACTGTGTGTGGGGGGCGGGGCCTAACAGACACACTGCAGCGGCATGCACACAGATTTGTAAGAGTAGTAGTACCGTTCAAAGTAAAGTGTTAAGAGAGTGAAATGTTGCTTTAGGAATTTCAACACTTGATGCTGTCACCTTGATTCCAGTTTCAGATACCTGTGTTTAACTGAATTAGTTTAAAGAGAGAAAACATTTTGACGAAAAGTTGACTAAAATGTAATTTTACATCGACTAAAACTAGACTAAAGCTATGAATATTAAAAAGGACTAAAATGTGACTAAACACTAATAACCATTTTCGTCTAAAGACTAAATCAAAACTAGCTGCCAAAATGAACACTGCTCAGGTGTTCTCAGTCATCAGAAATGTTCCAATGATCTCATGGTTCTCCTGTTTTCTCCTGTAGAATATGAGGAGGTGATGTTTGACAGCATGGACTCTGAGGGGAGTTGATGTTGTTGATCAGTCACACAGAGGCAGACGGCCCTCCATCGTTTTCATAGTTCACCTCATCTTCATCTTCATCTTCATCATTCTGCTCCTGTCACCATGGAACAGAGACATGGTGAAAACACAGAGCAGAGCTGGAAAGTAACTAAGTACATTTACTCAGTTTTGTACTTCAGTACATATTTTAAGGACTTTACTTGACTATCATCAGTTAATGCTACTTTACACTTTAACTGCTCCTTATTCTGGAGCTTAATGTTGAACTTTTTACTCGTCTTCATCCATTCATTTTTATTACACATTCTTGCTTTAACATCTTTTCTATTCCTTTTTTTATTTTGTATTTATTTCATTCTTAAATTGAGCAGAAATCACCATCTATGATGTATTACATGACAAATATAACTAGTTAAGCTACCCAGTAGTATGTCAAGTACTTTTAATAAACTATACATTGCAAATGGAAGTGATACACATTAAAACATCACTTATTATAATCATATATTATATTATTACATTCTGCATAATCAGTACTTTCAATTTAGGTATATTTGTATTATTAATCATATTTATATATTAGAGTATTTCTACATTGTAGTATTGCTACTTTTATTGAAGTACAATATCTCAGTACTTCCTTTAGTGCCTTGCTCAAGGGAACCACAGAGATACTTCATTTCAACACAACATGCACACTTTACTCCTTTGTTGAATCTTCTGCCTGTCTTATAATCACAGTTAAATGAAAATAATAAATATTACAAACTATTATTTTATATTTAAACTCACGAGGTTTTTTGTAATCCGTTTTTTGCCCCCTGAAAAAAACCAAAAAGACAAACATGTTGACTTCAGCTTCCATGGTTTACTTTTTTTTTCTCCTTAAAGGTGGGGTAGGTAATTTTGGAGAAACCAGCTCGAGTGCGCTAGAATTTGAAAATACACAACCGGAGAAAATCTGCCACTTCCTTACAGAGCCCCTCCTCCAACACACACGAACACGCACATGACCAATGAGGGCACGAGATAAGTTTGTGCACAGATTGAAGGCTGACAGGCAGGTAGGATTTTTTGTCAAAGCACATATTCATTGCTATCGGGATGTTAAGAGCATTCCATGGAATATAACAAAAAGTGTATCTCGAGCCGGTTTCTCAAACTTACCTACCCTACCTATAATCTATGAACCCTCACCTTTAGTTCTGGTCCAGATGTGGACTGTAACCACGGTGATGATGAGAGCTGCTAACCCCACAGGCACCATGATGACCCACCACACAGCTGGAAAGAGAGAAGTCCCAAGTGTGAAATATAGTCAGAGGTTTTTAGCTGTTAAATGTATTTCTTCTCTTCAGTCACTACCTGGTCCTTCTGGATGTTTGCAGTCTGTTTCTTTGTTGTTGTTTTCAGATGTCCATTCATGAATTGTTGGTGTTCCAGTTGTTGTAGCATCTCCTTAAGGAATAAAACAACATCATGCAAAAAACTGTAGTTAAAAAAAAAAAGTTTTCTCCATAAATCAAATGACAAAATGATGTGACGTCAAAACCTCAAATCCCAAAAGCATTATCTGTGATTAAATGTGTGATAAGTGATTTAAAACAACTCATTATATTCTAACCTGGTTTCTCAATTAAGAGCTTCTCTTTTTTATCATAACCATCTGTCACTTCACATTTCAGAAACTCATTCAATCCCTGATAAATGTGAGATGTTGTAAATGTGTTGTTTCAATATATTCTTATAACAAGACTGTTAGAAGTCATTTGAAACAGCATAACATGTTCTCACCTGAGGACTGAGCGCTGAAGAGAAACACCTGTACGTCTCCTGTGAGCTCATCAGTTACTTTACAAGTAAACAACTCAGACCTTGTTGTGTAACTAAAGAGAGAAGTCAGAAATGTCACAGAGGCAGAGCAGGAAGACTGTGATGTCTTTATCTCTCTGTGATCTGTATCCACATCTTGACCCTGAAGCAGCCACTTCACTGTTTGATCACACCGTCCAAATGTCTCCACAGAGCAGTTTAACGTCACCTCATCATTGTCCAGATGTCCAGTCACTGAAGATGGAGATATTGTGAGAGAAAGACAACAAGAGTAACATTAACTTCATCACTGTAATCATAATTATTGTAATGATTTAGTATATTGCTCTATAGAGACAGTTTAAAACATCATGATGTAAATACTCACTGGTAACAACATGCAGATAAACCACAGAGACTGAACCTTGTTGTACTCCTGATCTGAACTGGCTGCAGCCGTAAAGACCAGCATCCTCCTCTGTGACCTTCTTTATAACCAGAGAACAATTCTGTGTAACTCTCAGTCTGTCTGATTTAGCTTTGGCTTCTTTGTGAATCCGTCCATCTTTAAACAGCGTCACTCCTGAGCTTCTTGAATGTCTGAAGAGCCACTCAGTACTCTCACACTTATCCTGATCATCTATCACATTGTCAAAAGGCAAAGTGACTTCATCTCCAGGTCTGACAGTGAGGGAGTAACCTTTCAAATCTGCAGGTGTTGGGGAAAAAAATCAGAAATAAATATAGACGTCATAAATGCTGACAGAATAATGATTTATTATATAAAAAGGTAAAGAGTTAGAGTTCTGGTTGATCTGTTTAATGAATCATTTAACGACACATTCAAACCAGAGTTAATTACAGATCCACATAACTAACTGAAGTGTTCATAGTGAGTGTGACGATCACTTTAAAGAGTATTGCTATGTGGGTTTTAGTGACCAAGAGTTCACTAAAGTCACCACGTTACAAACACAACTCATCATTCTCAGTTAAAGGAACAGTACGTAGTAAAGTACCGTTACTGATATTAAAGCTGTTTTATTTCATGTAATTGGTAAATGGTAAATGGACTGTATTTATAAAGCGCTTCATCCAGTCTTTCACCCCCTCAAAGCGCTTTACATACAACAAGTCACCCATTCACACCCAATGCATACAGAGCAATGTGCCCCTTGCTCAATGAAGGGGTTAGAGCCATTTCCCTTTCATCATTATGGTTTGAATGTTTGTCTTATTACTAAAAGGCTTTAGAGGAAACTCTTAACTATCTATTTTTGTGAGTCACACTACGCTTTAAAAGATGTTAGTTTAAGTCTCACTTATTTGCTGTCGGATATGACGTGCATGTCTATATGTCTATATATGGCATGACATTGGTTCACAGCTGAGGGTGTGATTAGACAGGAAGCGGTAGGGTCTTTTGACCGTGTTCTTTTTGTTCTTTTTTGATACGGAGAACTTTTAGTTACTTTGAAGCGAGGAAGTTTGTCTTCATGTTTGTATGTCGCCTTGATCAAAGAATAAACCTGATGTGATTCAAAGCTACAACGATCTCTGCAAAGTTAGTTTGGAAGCAAAGAGAGGCGCGTCATAACCCACAACCCCGATAGAGGAAAGTGGATATTAAATGTAGAAACTGATTCAAACTCCACGACAGAAGGTATCATTCACACACCGTTCCCCATTGGGAGCGACTTGGGGTTAAGCATCTTGCCCAAGGATACATCGATTTCAATTGAAAGACGCCCTCACTACCTTTCATTAACAGTCGTAAACAGTGTGTGTTCTCTGCATCCTCACCTGGAAAGTGGAGCAGCAGCATCAGGAATGAAGACATCAGGATCCTTCTGAATTCAGACATCGTGCTTCTCTCTCGGTCTCTGGCTCTCGACTGTCAGAGTCTCTCCCCTGCTGCTTCTTTAACAAGAAGTCAGTACCGATGATAACAGCAGATCTTGATAAGCGACAGAAGAGGGGAAGTTGAACGTGGCAAGATGTTTTCTGGTTCCTCATTTGACCTCCAGTGTTTTTCTTCCGAAAACTGAAGGAGAAGTGTTTCGATGTGAAATGGGGTTACACCAGCAGCTCTGAAGGTATGACACCATATAGAAAACCTCAGGCACGTATTCAGCTGAACAACAGAGGAATAATTCAGGCCGATATGAGACGGATCAGTTTGAGCTGACATCCAGTCACTGTGGAGGACCGAGCCAAACTTACATTGAGACACAATCTGGATGTTTATTTTAAGATGACTGCATTCCCAGGCCCTGTGTGTCTCAACACCAAGTGCAGTATGTGGAAAAGATTTGCCACTGTTTCCATCTTTGCTGAATCTGTTTATCTAATTGAAAAATACAGCATGCACTTGTCACCCTAGAGCAGCGGTGTCAAACTAAAGGCCCGGGGGCCAAATCCGGCCCGCGACTATATTTCATGTCGCCCCGCAAGAGCTTGCAAAGAATATAATATGTTTATTATACGGTTACATGCCGCTTTACAGAAGCACGTTGTCCATAAACTACATGTCCCACAATGCATCTCATTTTGTGACGTGCACACTGAAGAGATTTGCAATTTTTTGCCCTAGACTTCTGCTTTTCAGACGTAGTTAATTATGAAATTATTACCCTATCCAATAATAATCCAATGCAGAGGCAATAATGTAATATAATACATTATTTTATATATATATGATGTATTTATATATGTATTTATATATCGTCTTAAAGTTTTGAACTGGCTTTTAATACTAGTTGAACATAACATTTTGATATTTGTATGTGTTTTTATATGTTTCTAGTTATTGTGCTTTGTATTATTGTTTTATTATTTTACTCCTGTTGTGTTATTTTATATTTGTTCCCTGTGCAGCACTTTGGTCAACTGAGGTTGTTTTAAATGTGCTATATAAATAAATAAAGATTGAGATTGAAAGTTACGACCGGCCCTTTGAGTGCAACCATAATGCTGATGTGGCCCACCATGAAATTGAGTTTGACCCCCCCCGCCCTAGAGGACTCGATACAAAGGACAAACTGGCACAAATCCACGGCTCCACGTCTTCTACCTTCTTCTGGCCATCGCATTTTTGGCGAGACGTTGGAAGTAAAACGAGGTGAATGTAAAACGGGACATACAATATATATATTAATGCTGTGTTGTTTACATTCTTATTGGCTAGTTTCTCTGAGTTATAGCTCAACATGAATTAAGGGGCGAGCAGATAAGAAGCACACACATTTGTGTAGAAGGTTTAGACACATTAAAGAGACCCTATTGTGCTTTTGGGGGGTTTCCCTCTCCTGTAGTTATATAGGTTTGTATTCATGTAACTGGTCTGCAAAGACTAACATCTCTGTGCTATTCGTTATACACATTCTCGCGAGATCTATCAGGGGTCATTGTAAGTTAAAGCGCGAACTGTTACTTGGCTAATGTTGTTATAATTCTCAGTATGTGAACACAGATCGAAAATGGAAAGATTTCTCACAAGTCAGCGTAAACGGCCGCGATCTCCAACGGAGCCGGTCCAGCCGGACAACCCTGTGTGTGTGTGTGTGTGTGTGTGTGCGTGTGTGTGTGTGTGTGTGTGTGTGTGTTTGTGTGTGTCTGTCTGTCTGTTTGCGGTGTGGTGATGAGGTTAAATGCCACAGCATGCCAGTTGAAACAGTGAACGATCGCTATTGTGTACGCTTAGGGTGTAATGGTATTATACACAAATATTGTAGGAGCAAAGAAACAGTGTTCAAATTCTGCTTTTACAAACTTATTTTGGTTGTGCTTACCTTGCAAAGTAATGTTATAAGTGTCAAAGGAATGTTTTAATGTAAATATTAATGATAATATTGTAGCGTGTCCAAGTTAATAGTTATTTCAGTTATCAGATGTGCACAGTTTAGTACATTTGTAAAGTTATTCAGGTAATGTTGTTGGTGGGAGTTAGGGAGAGACCGCCCCTTCCAGGTGTGTGTGTGCGTTTTCCGGTGTGTGTAGGGAGTACGAGACGGTAGGAGTTGTGTGTGAGTGTGGGGAAAAGTCATAATGAGTGTTATACTATTGATTGGCTCTGTAAGGCGTGGCTGTGGCCGTCAATACCATAAAATAAAGAGAACGTTTTCGACATTGAAGGCTCGTGATCTGTGATCTTGAATAGCGGTGAACGCTACAATATGAACAGGCTCGTGCTTGGCCCACTGGTATTATTTGTTTATTTATTTTTGAAAATTAACTAGCAACGCCGAGCTGTCATATAGCAACTGCTAAGCTACTGCAGCAAAAAAATCCTGGCGCCGCCCATGTCTCCTGCTGATGTTCAGGTGTACAGTATATCAGTATGTAGTGTCTCTACTTTAAAGAGTCCTCTCCTGCTGATGTTCAGGTGTATATCAGTATGTAGTGTCTCTACTTTAAAGAGTCCTCTCCTCCTGATGTTCAGGTGTATATCAGCATGTAGTGTCTCTACTTTAAAGAGTCCTCTCCTGCTGATGTTCAGGTGTATATCAGTATGTAGTGTCTCTACTTTAAAGAGTCCTCTCCTGCTGATGTTCAGGTGTATATCAGTATGTAGTGTCTCTACTTTAAAGAGTCCTCTCCTGCTGATGCCCTTATGAAACAAAAATATATTGTAATATATTGGTAAATATAATACAATATACTGGATCATACATTTCCATATATGGGAAAGTAGTCCTTATATTTTTAAATATATTGCAATATATGCATGGACCATGTATGGCTATATATTGATACATATAAAAAAAATATATTGCAATGAAAACAAAAACTGCACTATACATTTATATGTAATAGTTTTATTGAAACACTCATTTATCTTTCATGAGTTACACAAGTTTACATAAAATTGAACAGATATTCATAAACAGTTATCTCACTTTGTTTTGTATAGTTACCCACTTTATATATGAACATTTGTTTGATGGTAGCCTATATATTAAAAAAGTACAAATTGTCCATTGAATGATGGAAAATAATATACAGTTTATAAATATATATAGACACACACATATATGCACGCATATATATATGCATATATGCACGCATATATATATATATATATATACACATATATATAAATATGCATATATATATACACATATATATAAATATGCATATATATATACACATATATATAAATATGCATATATATATATACACATATATATATATATATATGCATATATGCACGCATATATATATGCATATATGCACGCATATATATATATGCATATATTACGGCCGACCGGCTATTTGGAGTTGAATGCAGCCCATCCACGGCAGACAGCCCAAACAGTATTCGAATGCGCCACTTCCGGCTGACAGTGGCTGACCTCCGTCTTCGCTAAACATAACTCTCTAAAACGTGTTAACGTTCTCATTGGACACATTATGTGCCAGTGATCATCACCAATCAATCTCACAGATTTCGGGGAGGCCCCCCCCCTCTCCAGCAATAGATTGATCTGATTGGCAGATTCAAATCTGCGTTGCTGCCTCTGTCTGTTGATTCTGTCGCTGAGTGTCAAAGAGAAAGCATTCATCAGGTGCTTCGAAACGGAAAATTAAAAAGAAACGAGAGGAAAATACAGCACGAGAGTCAGGTATGTGTGTGAGCATTTAAAACTATTTTAAATTGAAATAATTCTGCATGTACACTACAAGTAGGCTAGTTGCTTAATCCGTATGTCCCGTCTCTCGGCACTACAACAGCTACATTAGCTAACGTTAGTTAAATTAGCTATGTTAGTTCCCTCGTGTATGAGTGTATAACCGGTCCGCAGCTTTGTGAACATTCAATTTCGAAGATTTTCGATGGTACAGTCAACTGAAGTCGACCCAAAACAGCCAAAAATAGCGGACCTTTAGATCGCTAACATTTTAGCATAAGTCAATGGAGTTTAACATAGCGAAAACTAGCCCCGCGGCTAACGGACATTTTCTGACTGGTGAAGATGATGAGCTAGTTAAGTAATGTAACCACAGTTAGTCTATGTGTTCTGATGTTAGTAACTATGTAGGCTAACATTAGTTAGGCTATGTGTTGTGGACTAATGCATTCAAGTTAGTTCACATTTTAGTTGTTATTGCCCCTGCTGACAATTGTGTGGATAATATGTAGCCTACAGTCAATGGCATTTCACATTTTGCTCTCCAGTGTATGTTATTTTAATGTTGATCCATAATACTATATATTGAAATTCATAGGTCGAACTAAGCCTGCAGAACCACAAGTCAAGAGGACAGAGGAGCCAGATAGCAGTGGTGACTGAGACAGAATAAATAAGGAGAGAGGGCCCATGCAGAGAGGCAGACATCAGTAGTGAGGAATCAGACCCAAAAGACACGAGGACAGAGGAGCCAGATCGCAGTGGTGAGGAACGCACTGTCATTTAATTTCACTGTAATTTTACTTTTCACATATCACTTAATTCACTATTCAGCTTAGTTATCCTTGCCATGAAGGAATGAATGATTGAATGGATGAATGTTCTATATTATTTGAATGACAGATTGAACCACAGCAATATTGTTTTAGAGATTTTATATGTTTAACTGCTATGCCTGTCATCTCTGCTCTGTGTCATTGTGTTGTCTCCTGGGTTCTGTAGTGCCCGGAGTCTGTCTTTTTATTTTTTTCCTCCCAAACCCCATCCCCTCAGGACGCCTTTTGCCTCCTGTCAGGTCATCATTGTAATAAGAATTTGTTCTTAATTGATTTTCCTGGCTAAATAAAGGTTCTACTACTATTTATTCAGTTATTTTATTACTGGTACTGCTAATTGCACTATGCGTATTGTTGTATATTGTATATACGTATGTATTTACTACTACAACTTACAAAATCGAGGGTTGTAGCTTTGTGTCAGTACATATTTCAGGGTTTTTCTATGCCTTTGTTAATCTAAATTCTAATACTCATAGGCGACT